TTTTTTTCAGTCAAATATGGTGAAAAAAGATGATCTCCAAATAGCTCTGGAGAAAGCTTCAATGGCGAACAAGACGTTAATAGTCGCTTTCGTCAACAAAGCTTACGTGGAGCCGCACGAAGACGAGTACCCAACGATGCTAGATCTCTTTCTCGAGGGCTTTTGGGCCGGGGAGGGGACAGGGCCGCTATTGGGCCACCTGCTGGTGGTGTCCATGGACAGGGCCGCCCACCGGAGGTGCGAGTTCAGGAGGCTGAACTGTTACGAGCTGCCTCCGGTGGGCGGGGGCGATTTTGCGGGAGAGAAAGTTTACATGAGTGATGGATTTATAGAGATGATGTGGCGGAGGACTCGTTTTCTATTGGAGGTTTTAAACCGAGGATTTAGCTTCGTCTTCACGGTAAATGTCTCTATACCTTTAATTTTGAATATAAAGATTATTAAAATTAATTGACATGGTCTCTACAATATTATAAATTAGATAAAATTATGCGATTCACACCAAATTAATTGGTGACGTAGCGAAAGCGTAAACCATTTGAAAAAAAAAATAAAAAATAACTAGGATAAATAGATCTCCTAGAAACCTTAAATAAATTAAATTAAATAACTTATGTACCAAGAAAATGACTAAGATAAATATATTTCACATAATTAAATATACTTCATTCCGAAATTAGAACTAATAATAATATAATAAAATAAAAGAAATATATTAAGTGTACTAATAATGTTAAATGATCATGCTTGTTCAGAAAAGAAAAAGCTAACGCAATTTCATCTCCATCAATTGATTGAAGTGAGATTTTATAAGGATTATGAGTCACTTAGCACTTGAGAAAATAAGTTTTAAGGGATTAAGTTTAACATTAATTCTAAAGTGGTTTTCCCATTAGGGCTGGTGTTAGGGGAGCATTATTGTAAGACAATAGAGAAGAAAAAAATCATTATGTTAGTGGTTAAATGAGTCGAGCAGAGTTCGAGCTTTTGCTACTAGTCATGCTCGAGCTCGAGTTTGAGTTTTGACAAGCATTATACGAGAGCGTCTCGAGTTTCTGATACTCGAAATCAGCCTTTATTGAGCCGAACATGTTAACTAAACATATACTTTGTGATAAATATACTTTTGATATTTCACACCACATTTTTGTGAAAAAATAATATACTTAATTAATATTTCACACCACATATGTGATATGACATTAACGATTGATATGATTACAGTTAGGCAGAGGCATTTGAGTCCAACCTAAATGATAACTATTTAATATTTATTGCATAATAACGACCCCTAATCCCTATAGTCTTCTATGGAAGGACCAATTTTATGAAAAATATACCACTATTGTGAAAATGGAGCTTATACTATAAATGCCTTTTTTTTTTTTTTTTTTTTTTTTTTTTAATTTTATTTTAAGTTACGTACGTTACGCACTTGAAGTAGAATACCTATATAGTTTAACTTAACTATTTTATTTAATTCCTTGCATATGGTCCATGTTACAATTATGTATATCCAATAATCTTTTAGGAAAAAAATGTTCTATATTTTGAAAGACTGAATAAAAAAAAAATAAAATTGGGAACTTACGTGTTAATCCTCCCTATATATTATTCTCGAATGCGCTGAGCCTACATGGCTGCTTCTGGTGCTTCGAAATCCTACTTGGCAAAAAATCATGCTTCGTAATTAGGTTTGGACAAACAATATTGATATATTAATAATTAATAATATAGGTTCGGACATTCCATAAATATTAAATAGCTAACTTAGGTATTTTAATACACTTGTACTAATATAACCCTTTAATTCTTTGTAATTTTACAGACATTAAATGACTAATATATCTCTGACTTTTGATTTGTTTCCTTCAAATAGTTATTCAAATAGTTATTTAATTGTAAATGTATTTTAAAAGTTGATAACTTTGTATTTCTTACGGTTTTACATATATAATATATCTAATTAATCATCTTTTGATGATTCTTCGATTTGATATCTATATTGTATATATGAAATAAATAAATTATATTTATCTTTATAATAATAAATAATAATAATACTTATTAAAATTCATTAGAAAAATAAAATTATTTCTTATTGATATATTTATTTTTAATGTAGTTATATGTTGTAAGTTAAAACATTATTATAATATAACACAAGTAAGTCGCACAAATAAAAAAGTGTCATACTAAATATATAATAATATATATACTCTTATAAAAGGTATTTAAATTCTCAACTACTTTTTCTCATTAATTTTAGATTTTAAGAAAAAATTAGCAAGCAACCGTGTAATACACGGGCGTTGTACTAGTTGAAGCACTGAAACACAATGTCACATTCTCGAATGATTTGACTTTTGTTCTGTTTCCAAACATCGTTCCTTGGTTTAATTTTCCAAGTTCCAACTTTGAATAATCAAAGTGATTGCAAAATGAAACTAATATTACGATGACCAAGTCGTATATTAGCATTGATATTTTAAGGGTGAGCAAAACCGAGCCGAAATCAAAAAATCGCACCGAATCGAGCTATTCGGTGCGGTTTTTGAAGAGTTCGGTTATCGATGCGGTTTGAGTTTTGGAAAACCGCAAATATTTCGATGCGGTTCGGTTTTCTGTGCGAATGGTGCGGTTTTAACAAAACCCCACCGAATGTCATAAAATGTCATTTTTTTTTTTGTTTTTTAATAAAATATTACCTTAATTTTTACACTTTTACTTACATTACATTAATTGTTGGTTATCTTTTTTAATTTCGGTTAACCGAAAAACCGCACCGATTCGAAATCTTCGATTTGGTTCGGTTCATTTTTCCTTCTATTGCGGTGTGGTTCAGTGAAGAATATTTAAGAATCCGGGTTCGGTTTTTTTTTTCGGTGAGGTGCGGTTTTTGACCCAACTGCACCGATGCTCACCCCTATATATTATTTGAAAGTTACATGATAAATAAATTTTATTTTTTTCCCATCATCAATCTAATAACATACATTAATTTTGGCCATTTTCATAAATTTCTCTATTAATTTGGCCATTTTCATAAAATGCAACCAACCAAATTTTTGTGTAGCAGGATACAGATGTATTATGGCTTCGAAATCCATTCACAAGATTGATGATCAATACCGAAAATACCCTCGACATACAAATAAGCACAGACCGATTTAACGGTAACTCGACATCGGAAAAAAACCCGATCAACACGGGATTTTACTTCGTCCGATCCAACAAAAACACAATCTCGTTGTTCCAAACGTGGTACAACACAAGGAAAAACTTGACGGGACTCAAAGAACAAGACGTGCTAGCCAACTTAATACGCGACGGGATTTTTACAAGATTAGGTCTCCGCATTGAATATCTCGACACATTGTATTTCAGCGGGTTTTGCAAGGACAGTCGGGATATCGAGCTCGTGGCGACTGTTCATGCCAACTGTTGTAGAAGCATTGCGGCCAAAGTTGCTGATCTAAAGAGGGTTTTGCATGATTGGAAGAGGTTTGTTAAGAGCGGGGAAAATTTTACACATGATCATGATTTGAAAAATAGGACTAATAGTTTCAAGTGGTCTAAACATATGGCCTGCATTAATTCATGGCATTAAATTGTAAATATTTTTTCAAAAATAGTATTGGATCTTAGCACATGCACAAATGCAAATAAATTTTTATACCTTATATATGTGTTGGTGTAATATTATTTAAAACCTTAAGTTAGATAATAAGTAAATCACGTGTTTATAAATTTTATCATTAATAAAAACGAACAATATAAATATAAAATATTTAACTTACATATTAATCTTTATATCGATACAATTTTGACTTGATTATGACCAATTAATTGGATAGTACAATATTTAAATTAATGTTCATAGCTAATTGGATAGTACAATATTTTTAAATTGTTTATAGCATATGTATACAAAATTTAAAGTGTTTGCTTATACCATAAAAAATAGTTAACTAATTAAAAAAAAAAAACTTAATATGATGAAAAAAAAGAAATAATTATTTTAATAAATAGTTTTAATATAATAGAACAGAATAACAATTAATGGGACTTTATTATTAGTAGTTCATAGCAACTATATAATAAAATAAATAAAAAATATGGAATATACTACGGTCCCGTTACAGTACTATTCCGTCGGAATTTGTAACCGTTAGATCAACTATCCCGACGGTTACTGGATGATCTAACGGTTACAAACCCGACGGAATGTCTCCGTAACGGGATCGTAGTATTTTCCAAAAAATTTAATTGTTTGATTAATGGAAATGTAATTAAAAAAAAAAAGAGATTTATTAAATTATTTGCTAGCAATTTTCTCCCAATAAAATTCCATCACTCTCAGTTTCCTTCATTCGAATTGAATTGCCGCACCGAAAACATCAGCAAGCTGATTTAAGGAGAAAGAAAAAAGGTTAACAAAAAGGCTAACAGCTCTATGGTCTGCAATTTTTTCCCTGTTTTGGGCCCCAGATGAGGTTTAATTGACATTGGGGGTTTCTCCAGGTTGATGATGATTAAAGCTTAATGTACCGATATTTCCCCGCTGTGCTCACTTATGTTATGATATGTCGTAATTTTGTCTATGTTGTTTTTTCGAGTATGCATTTCGGTTTGAAATATATGCATATCTTTCGAAAAAAGTACAACTTTCTGTTAGGCAACGACAGCATTGCTGTAGCATTTTCCTATCATCGTAAGTTGTTGGTGGGGAGTAGCTACATAAGGTGAAACTTTCATGGCGTTTTATTTTATATATACGACTAACGGGAACTAGCGCATAACTGGAAGAGAGGAAACTTCAGTGTGTGCTTTTCATTTTTTGTCATGGTATAAGTTTTTGTTTTGATGTGAAATGCTCAGGAAAACGTGTTGGCTGAATCAAGGATGATGGTTCCTGACTGCCGCAAGCGTTTGGAGTCTGCTCTTACAGACCTTAAAGGCACTTTAGTAAGTTCTAATTTCGTAAAATGAATATAATGTTGTTCTTCTGCTAGTGAAAATTCATGGTGTGCTTATAATTCTACCAGTTTGTGATTATTGTGAATGAATGTCCATGCATTCGAAGGAACGAGATTAGGCAAGTTGTTGCGATTTGTAAACATTATATGACTGTTTCGAGTACTTTGATTGTTCTAGTGTTTCACTTTTGAATACTTTCTTCAGCCAACTTGCCAGTACATCGGGTGTGGGAGAAGTTCTGTAATGTGTGAATACGAATATTTTTTATTTTTTTTTTTATTTTTAACATATGATTTATGTGACCGTGAATGTTAAAAATAGACTTTTCCCTTAATCTGGAAGTTGCTTTGTTCAATGCGTAATGTTATCCAACTGATGCAGGCCGAGCTAGAGGAGTCTGGTGAACAAGGAGGCTCAGAATATAATGATGCTCGGATCATAGTTTCAGAGGTTTCGTTAGAAACTTTTTTAAAGTGAATAACGAGTAGACAACAAATGGGGTCAAAACTTTCATTTTTAGGTCATGTGATTATGCTCACTTGTGTATGAACTGTTGAGATGCTATGATTAGAAGATCGGTTCGTATCTGAACTCTTTATTTACCATTTTTATTAAGTGAGGGTGACAGTAATCCATTGATTTGTTGAAAGCTAAAAGGATATTGGGTTCTTTGCAGAAAAAAGGGCGGTATATTTTGGATATGGTGATAGTATCATCTCCTTAGCAATACCTGATTCATAAAATATAACATCCTCCCTATATATTATTCTCGAATGCGCTGAGCATACGTGGCTGCTTCTGGTGCTTCGAAATCCTACTTGGCGAAGAATCATGCTTCGTAATTAGGTTTAGACAAATAACTAGTTTCTAGTAAAAACGAAAAAGAAGAATCAAAGAAACACAGATAACGCTGAATTTCACCCTCCCATTGAAGTATTAATCATTGGATCAATACATACACAGATAAAAAGTGTCCTTTTTATTACAGAGTTAACAAGAACACCAAGCCTGCATAACGAACTAAGAACACAAGTGTCAAGCAAGTTTACAACCATGAATATCAATTAATCACTCTTACATGACAAAATGCAGGTGAGGGGATAGCAAAATGCAGGTGAAAAGTCTGTTCTTCGCCTCAAGAAAGAGAGCTCTGATTCAAAACTAATTTCATAATATTGCTTATCAGTGGTTGAAATTAGCCATAACCAAAAATGGATGGCAAGCTTACGACGACAGTTTCATATGCTCAAAATTTTAAAACTCCAGTTTACACATTCAATTAGATGATACACAGCTTTCCATAAACAAATTCATGACGATCAAGCCAAATAACAGACATTTGGTCTTGGAAGGACCAAAGCCAGCAACTATTCCCATAAACAAAAGAAGATCAGCTTACCAAATTCCAACTGAAATCACACATCCCGACTTGTTAAATACACATTTTCCAACTTCAACTTCTTGATCTAAACCTCCAAACTCCCAACTCATAACAACTTAGTTCTCAGGCGAATTATTTTTCGCCCTTTTCGAGCCCCTCTCGGCTATGGCCTTAGCAAAGGCCTCGAGAATCCTCTGCTCCGACTCAAGTATCATCTCGGTCCTTTTCATCTCCATCTCCATCCTCATCTCCTCCACCTGTCGGGCCATGTCCATCTTCACCTTCTCTATTCTCATAAACCCTTCGCCCAGCGTGTGAATGGCGGCAGCTAGCTCGCCCATGCCCGACTCCCCACCGGAATCTTTATTCTCAATTTCACCTGTTCTTTTTCTGGTATTTGGGAGCTTACTAGAACTGGGAGGACCATTGATGCCGACGGGGACGAAATTGGTAAACCTAGGGTTCGGGGCTGAGGAGGGTCCCGGGTTGACCTGGCCCGGGATCTTGATCCGGACGCTGGCGGACCCATTGCCGGCTC